AGGAGACTATCAGAAGTTTCTGTATCTAACACGGAGTGCACTTATGGGCCCTTTCTAGCTCAGCTTTGGCTCAGTCTGAAAGTGATTTGAAACATCACGCATGTTTTGGATTTATGAAGTTACACAGACCTCTTGAAAAGACTATATATAGAAGTGTTTAGCCAGAAGTCTTTAGCCAGACAAAAAAGCCATTTTGGAAATTTGGCAACTTTTGGCAGCAGTGGCAGCTCAGACAGCCAAGCTGTAATTTCCACACCAAGTAATGAGCACTGAGTTCTGGGCTGAACTGAACCTCCCAGCACCCACCAAGAACCAGCCCTAAAAGGCTGCTGGTGATGTGACAAAACACACTCCTTTCATTTTCAGCCTCTACATCAACACTTGTGAACAACTTCCAGGCAGGAAAAGCAGAAGCCATGCTAGACTTCTTCAGTAAACACGAACCCACTTCTGCAAAACAGATTAAGTAACACCTGACAGGCCAGAGGACATGGTAGAGAGTATTTAAGGTAGAGAGCATTTAAGGACAAGTCAGAACACACACACCAATATCAGCACCACTCCTCAGTTAAGGCAGGAAAAGCAGAAGCCATGCTAGACTTCTTCAGTAAACACGAACCCACTTCTGCAAAACAGATTAAGTAACACCTGACGGGCCAGAGGACATGGTAGAGAGTATTTAAGGTAGAGAGCATTTAAGGACAAGTCAGAACACACACACACCAATATCAGCACAACTCCTCAGTTGCTAATAAAAGACACAGCAACCCACCACAAACTGGACATGTAAATTCACTGGGAACAGGCAGCATTTTTTTTCCAGAGGAACCCAAATTGCCTGTAAAACTGACAGCTGTGTTAACAGGTTGAAAATCCCTGCTTTGTTTTAACATAGTTGCTTGGTTGCCTGAAAACCCAGAAAGCAACTGGAACAGTCCAAACTCCATACCTTTTAACTGGGGTAACCTTGTGACCAGATGTCCCCTTGATCTGGGTGGCAAGTTCAGTAGCAGTGCCGTGGCCCAGGATCACGGATGTGCCTGAAGCCAGAGTCTCCCATGAAATGTTCTGTTCCACTTCCCCCGAGCTCTCATGACTTGTTTCAAACCAACTGGTTTTTGAAGAAAGCCTACAACACCCCACAAGTGATCAGAGAGAACCTACAGCTTGGCTACCTACAAGGGAGAAGAGACTCATAGCCCAACACCACATTTTTCAGAAACCACCATCCATGGAAGGCTGTAACCCCTGGGAAAGCCAGGACACGTTGCAGAGCACTGGATCTTGGCTGTACCTGTGCTGCTGCCAGGAAGAGGAGCTGTTCCCACTTCATCCACACAAATATTCACATGGCTGCCCAGAAAGCTGGGCCAGCTCCCTGAGCTGACTTCTCACTGTATACCAACACTAAGGATCAACCAGGAATAATAAGCACAGCCAGGAGCAGCCTGGGACTCTTCTTGCACTACAGAGGTCAGGGAAGCCCATGGAAAATAACCAAAGGTAAACCTGAGCTCAAACTTGAAACAAACTGGAGGAACAAAAGTAGTGCCTTTGGAGAGGAAACTAAAGCTTGAACACCTCTAGCCTCCCAAGACAGTTTTAATTAATTTTGCTTTTTTTAAAAAAGCCAGCCAGCTTTTAGATATTTGCAGGTCCTTTCAAGCCCACAGGAAACTATGTCATCCTGTCTCTTCTAAGATCATCGTTCTTTTATTTTCTCTGTTCCTGTGATACACCATTTTCTTCCACTGGGTGACCCTGTACACCCATCCATTTTAGAACACAGCTTTTCATTAGAGAGAAAAAGCAACGAAGGCAGAGGCTACAGGACAAACAGGGAGACCCATCTGCCCAAGATCACAAGCCCCAGGAAGGGCCATGAAATGAGGTGGGCCTGAGCTCTGCCCATGCTTCACACAGGCAGTCTCCCAGGCATGATTCCACAGCTGAACTCTCAAATGCTGCTTCCAAATTTAGGAGAATTTTTCCAGGGCTGCACTGGCAAATCCAGTTCTGCCTGAGCATAGAGCCCAGAACCGTGTGCTCTACCAATCTGTAGAGCACACCTGTTGATTATTCTCTAACACTTCCTTAGGTTGCAATTTTTCCAGGTAAATAGTATTTTTCCACTGTCCCTGGTACTCTCTGGTTCAGTGCCCTGATTTAAGGCTTTCCCACACACACACTTGAGTGCTGCCTGCCAAGTAAGAACTTTTGCTGGCAACTTTTCTTAATCCAGAGGAAGTAGTTAGGTCTTTCTGGTGTATTGAGCAACTGAGTGGTGCAGATTAAAAAAATGATAAACAATTACATTTTTAAAAATTATCTTCCAGTATAGGATTAAAAAAGATGAGGAAAACTGACATGTTTATTGATCCCATTTAGTTGTCTATCAGCACTGTGACACTTGAACTCACTATGACACTAAGCTAAAGGTATGAATGCCTGTTGCAAGAGCAGAACCCTCACTTCCACACCAATCATAACACCACTAATTTAAAAACCATTTAAGAGATTTAGTAATACTCCTACAGGACTACTGTTTTCTTGCCTGGGGATGCCTGCTTTCAGAAGGCCCTGCATTCATGGCTAATGAGTACTGTCTTCTGCTATTAGACGTGATGAAGCCTCTGTAGACTAATAAAACCTGCTACTGGTGCCTCAGGCAGTAGGAATACCCCAAAACCATTTCCACCTCCTGAGGGGGATGGTATGGTACTTCAGCCAGTCTCAGTCCAGTTCATGTGACACTTGGCAGAAAACACAGCCTGTCCTGTCAGTCTGTTTCATTCCTAAGGAAGCTGCCACATTCCCAGAGACCCATGGGCCTTTTGGAAATGCTTTTGAATCTCTAAGGAAGATACTCACCCATCCTGCCCAAGTCCCAATCTGTTGGTCATACTGTGGGGGTGCAACCCACAGCCACTCCCACTCTTCTCACCAGGTGCCACAGCAGCAGTTCTCAATGCCTCCTGACAAAACAAACAAAGGAGCTTCCTTTCCCAGGATACATTTGACAGAACTTGCTTTTTCTAGAATATCTGACATGAGCAGACTGTTTCCAAAGCCATCTTCCTGTCTCTTCTGCCAAACTCAATGGGCTGGAATGCTGAAGTTGTATCAAAAGACAGAGTTTAAGTGGGTATGTGTATTGGTTTGCTTTGTGAGGAGAAAAGAACCAAGATAGTCAGAGCATTAATTGGTTATCCTGTGACACTGGGATTATTTCACCCTAGGAGCACAGGGAGCATCCCACAGTTATTGCTAAGTGGTTTCAGTTGTGAGCAGTCTCTACAAAAAGCCATGAAGGGCAGGGCACATGGGCCTCGTCTGCCCTCCTCAGCACACCTGGAACCCACACTGGCACCAGCGGGTGTTGGGGACAGCCAGCAGGCAGGATGTGGCCTCTCAGCACACCTTGGTGTTGAGCTTCAGCTGCCTGCTCCTCACAGGCCCCACAAACACTTCCTCAGCACTGTCATTTCCGCATGTGTTGCTCCCACTAAGCCTCAGACATTCCTGGGACTGCCAAGTGGTCATGCAGTTATTCCATGTGTCCCATTCAACACAGCAATCCAGGCCAGTTGCCCTGAGCCATACTAAATGGTGTTTGAGCAACACATCCCAGGAACTACCTCACAGCTCCCAGGATTGCTTCATACCTTCCACACAGGGCTTGTGAAACCTGAGTAGACAAATGCCTTCCAGCCTGTCTCACTATCAGAGCAGTTTCTCCATCCTCCTCTCCCATGACAGTGGAAAAGGCTGGCTCAGAACATTCCCTGCAGTGCTGGTCACTATGCTTAGACACAAAAACAAAGCAAAACCTCAAACCAGACATGCTATTGCTCTAGTGCAACGTGGATCATGGAATGTGATACGTGTTGTGGTTTAAAGCAGAGGTTAACAGCACAAGATTCCCATCATTATTAACATAAGACATGTGACTTCCTGGTCTGTGTGAAAAAACAGAGCAAGGCTTGGTCTCTACTGTTGGCAGATTCCATTACAGTTCTGGATGTCTCACACCCAGAGCTGAAGGCAACTGCACAGGCAACCAGTCACCATCAGCTGAGAGAGATCAGTTAGTAGATCCCACTGCTTACCTGTCTAGCACGAAAACAGTGACATTCCCACTGCAAGAAATTCACCTGTTGAATTCAAGCTAATTTCTTGGAAGCAGGCCACAGAAAAACACTTTAGAGTAAGAAAAGCACTTTTACACTACTTAGGATTCTGAAGCAACCAGAAATGTTGTCAGTGACATTCCAGCCGCTCAAGTGTCTTGCCACACATTATTTGTTGACCAGGACTTATTTTTCCCCCCCAATATTAATCACTAGAACCTTCATTCCAGTCAGCATGCATACATGGCAATAAGTGCCACTGGGCCAGCACATTTTGATCTCACATTTCTTGCCAGCTGTCCCTTATCTTCCCAGATATATGATTTATACCATTACTTCTAAGATCTGGAGTAGTGGCTGACCCAAAATGCTACTTCTGCAGAAGCCACTCCTCTTTCAACTGAGGAGTTGAACTGAAGCAGTCCTCACCACACTAATGTCATTAGCACAAGCAAAGACTCAGTTATTATTATTATTAAAGTAATGGAGTAATGAGGCCACATCCTGAGCATGTGATGAGCACATGAAAAACAGAGGGAAAAGTTTAAAAACTCTTCCTACTGACTGTGGCAATTTCTAACAGTGTTTACTCCTGATGTCTGAAGGACATATTAGCTGTCCTTGTGAGAAGACATTAACCATGAAGAGTATTGCAGAACATTAGCAGCTGACAGCATCCTCTCCTGTCCTCTCCTTGTCCCACCAACCCACAGGTGTCCATCTGGAGCAGACTGCAGTTCTGGTAAAATTGTGCTTTATGACAGGCAGGTGCACCAGATCAGACTGCAGTGACTCAGTCAAGCAACACACTGCCTACATAGATGAAGCACTGGCTAAAGAAAGAGCATGTGGAGAAGGAGAAGCTGTTACCTGTGGGTGGAGAGGGAAAAACATCCCCAGAAGGATAAAGCTCCTGGCTGTTTTCAGAGCTGTGTGGGGGCAGAAAGTGCTCTGCTAGGTCACAAACAGAGGGAAGGTCCACGCTGCTCTCTGAGGTGTGACTCGGTGACGTCTCCTTTTCTTCCATGATCCCACTGCAGACAGAAATGAGACTCAGCTGGGTTTTTGGAGCATGAGAATCTAAGCAGAAGTCAACACAAATAATCTGGCATTTTTGTACTGCTTTATGAGATGACAGGAGCTGTTCTAGTATAATCATACCTCAATTAAGAAAATAAAAACAAATTTAAAGATGTAAAGAAGAAACAACAGCAAGCCCCATAGATAACAGCCCTCAGCCTTAAGCTGGATAACTAGGAGACCACAATAAATCTGGCTTTCCTACAGGCTTCCCAGAAGTACAGCCTCAGGCCCCAAAACTAGGAAGCCATGGAGCATATGCCCTTCAGGGTATCCTCTGTGTGCCATTTAAAAGGAAACACGTTCTACAGGGCTCCTTTCCACAGATGCTGCTACAAGTCTCAGGTTAAACCCATCCCTCCTGGCTTATGTTCACTAGCAGAAAGAAAAATTATCTTACAACTTGGCAGCCTCAATCTCACAGGGATGGCAAAGACTTCCTGGCAGGGAGACACCAGGGCAGCTGTGTTATATAATCAGTGCTCAACATTTTGGAAAGCTTTGATTGAAGCTCATCCCAACACCTTGTTATCAAGCTTCCTCAACCAGTCCACCAGCACAGAGGGAAAGAACACACAGCAAGACAGGGCTGGTGCCATCAGCTCCACACCAAGGGTGACAGTGAATGGGAAACTCCTTTGGAGAGGATGGATCTAAAGTATTCCAGTCCAGCAGCTCCAAGCACAGTCACAGTCTGGGGCAGAAGAGCAGTGAAGTAAAACTTGGTGGGGTAAGAGTGACAAGACAGAGGATCCAGATCTGGTGGTCAGGCAATGGCCTGTGGCCCTGCAGGCTTACATTTATCTTCTTTTCTATAAAATTAAGACAACAAATTCTTGTTTTGGGGTTATTATCAGTAAAGAATGTGACAGCCACAGTGGGAAAGGAAATCCCCAGAATGCATTAGTGGCAGATTAAAAAAAAATAACATAATTCCTTAGGTGCTTCTGTGCTGAGTAAACTTTTATCTAAGATACACCTCTGACCTTTGCAAAATGCTGGCCAACTCTGTAATGAAGAGAGGGGAGGTGATGGCTGTGATACCAGAGAAGAACAGGTGTCTTGCCTTGGAGGGAAAAGGTCTGTGCACTCACAGAAACAGGAATTCCAGGAAAAAGGCAGTGGAAGGTTAAAAACAAAGCAAAGTACACAACCATCTTCCCCAACAGAAGGAAACGTCTCCTCTACTGCTCTTCAGGCACCAAAATATAAATGATCCGTACATAAGGAATACAGAGAAAGAAAAACTTTCCTCAAATATTGTGTTTATGTTGTGTGCTACTTTAAAGTAGAATGGCATTTTAAAGAACTAAACTCCCTATACCCTTCACTAGTCTGGAAAATCCCCAAAAACACACACCACAAGCCAAATGAATTCTACACCTCCAAGGGCAAATGGCAAATTACAGCAATAGGAGCTGCTGGTGTGATCCCACAGCAGCTTAGGGCTGTCACTGATGGCAGCTGCAGTGGCCCTGGATGTCTCTGCCAGCTGCCTGTGCTACTCCCCTTCTCTGTCTTGCCACAACAGGACTAACAACATGTGCAACCATGTTTTGATCAGGTTTAGATAAAACAAACCAGCTTTAAAACAAATTGTTTTCCTCTGGATTAGCTCCCTGTAGTCCTACCCCCAAAGCTGATGGTGAGACCACAACTCGTGGTGTCTGTGGGAAAAGGCTCAGCCCTGGGCCTTCAGACAAATGAAAGAGACTCCCTATTTCCTCTGTGCCATACCTGGTAAGAGAGAGCACTGATGTGCAAACAGTCCCTTTGGACAAAGCCCAGGGGCAAAGAGTCTGTTGCTGCTTCAGGACTCCCTTATTCTTCCTTCATGGTTTGTCAGCCCCAGACTGCTGGAATGAAACAAACAGGTCAGTCAGATGCTTTGGGCCAGCTGATCTTGGCAGAGGGACAGGGTGACCTTTCAAAGTGCATATGCTAGCCAATGTCAACAGCCAGTCATCACATATGCCACTGTTTGTTGGGTCTGGTACAGAGGAAAAGTTTCTTCTAGGAATCAGAGAGAGCACATCTAGTTTTGCCCTTGAACATTTTGACAGCAGTGGAGACCTCCATGGGTCTGGTACATCCAGAAAGGGGCTGGTACATCCTAGAAGTAAAGATAAGATTTACCTTACAAGAAGCTGCCAGATAGGCTGTTTGTTCAAAACCCATCAAGCAAAGAAGCAAGTAATAACTGGCAACCTTCCCTCCCTCCTGTGGAAAGCAGGTATTTCCCCAACAGGTTTATCTAGGGGCGTCTTGAAGTCAACAACCTTTTCTGTCAAACCTGAACCAGGAAAGGTGTTTTAAGAGGGCCACAAAACCCACCCAGCAAAGGCTTACGGAACACAAATCCTGTTTCCTTTGCCATTACCTCGATTATTTTCAGTGAGCTACCAGGACAGGCATACTTTCAGGCAGAAACTGGATGTTTTCTGGGCCACCCTCATCCGGTGGCACTGCACAGGTACCAGGAACCCAAAGGCCCGTCCTGCACAGGCTTGCCTGGCTGGCAGCATTGCTGCACAATGTGATGGATACGGGAGGATGTGAAGCACTGCCCTTACCAGCTGCCCTGCTCAGCAGGTGAGGGGGTTCTCCTCCTCCTCCCGGCCTCCTTTCTTTCCCCTTTTCCTCCAGGCAATATTCACGCGTTATTTCACAAACCTCTCCCTTGGCAGTGAAGCGCCCAAGAGTGACACAGGGCACGGTGCGAGCCGGGAGAGCAGCGTGGGCCAAACCCGGAGCACCCCGCGGCCTGGCCACGGCTGCTGCGCCACCCCCTGAGGGGAAATGCCACCCAAGAGCAGCCAGAGCTCGGGGCAGGGGGCAGCGGAAACACGGGGACAGTGAAATCGCGGCACGGCTGCCGCGGGCCGGGCCGCGCTCGCAGAGCCGCGCCTCGGGCCCTCCGCGCTGCGGCCGGGCCAGCGAGGGCCCTCCCGCCCCGAGGCCGCCGGAGGGCGAGGGGAAGCGGGCAGAAGCCTCACGGCTGGGGGCAGGCGTGACCGGAGAGCCCCGAGCACGGCGTTCTTGGATGAGGAGAGCTGAAATGGAGCCGGGCAGCGGCGGCAGCGGCGCTCCCTGAGCCGCCCAGAGCGGCTGCGCAGGGCCCGGCCCGCCCCCGCGGGGCTGCGGGTGGAAGGGGCGGGCGGATTTCAAAGTGTTGCCAGCCAGGTTTTCCTGGCAAGGCGTTTAGCTCGGGTTTATGTCTCTGGATTCAGGGGGAGGGGTTTTGGCGCGGTTCGGCAATGGCGCTGTCCCGTGCCTGGCACACCGGTGCTGACTCGGTCGCTGCACACCGCTGCAGCCTGGCCGGGCCCTGAGCCGCGCGGGGCTGCAGCGTGCAAACACCGCAGCGCGGCCCGAGGAAAAACCAACGCGATTCCACGCGGAACATAAGCTGCCAGCCTTCCTCCGAGGGCCTGCGGAGCTCACGGAGATGTGCACCGAGGCCGCCCGTGTGCTCCCGCCAGGAGTTTCAGCAGGCGGAAGGTTGGCAAACCCCGCTGAGCAGCGGGATACAAACCAGGCTCGTTTGGGGCATCCATCGCTTCGGCACCTGGCGCGATCGGTGTGTGCCGCCACAGCCACAACAGGCGTGGTGACAAGGACATCCCGAGTCTCTCTAGCAGGGAGTGTCGCGGACAAGCGCTGGGTATTTCTCCGGCACAGAGAACGAAGTGCAGCGCACAGCCAGACACCCGGGGCGGAGGTCAGGGATCCGCCCTGTCACCGTCTGGGCCGGCATCGGGACGAAAGCAGCCGGCCGGGAAGAAGTGCTGCCAGGAGAGAGCTGCCTGGGCCCTTTGGCACACTGCTGTGAGAGAGACTGGGAAGGAGCTGGGAGTTTTTTCCAACAGCCTTTGGACATCAGAGTTACTGAGGGCAAACTGATGTGTTTAGGAGGAAATCACTAAAAGGAGGGAAATCAATTTGAAGTCCCGTGACTGCCAAGAGGGCTTTGTTTTTCTCGCAGGTTTGAGCTGGGAAAGGTCTCCATGGGGAGAGCCTTTGGATCTGTGTTTCAGGCACAGTGACTCTGCCTCGCCCTTACAGTGTCTCTCGAGCCAGGCCTGGGCATTTGAGGTCACTGCCCAAGTGGAGATGCAAACCCAGCTGCACCCTGAGCTGTAGCTAACCCTGGGCCCTGCCCTAGTGCTAGGCTACCTCTTGCCAGTCGTCTGCGTGCCCAAGAACTACCCCTTCCTCTCTGGGGGTGTTCTGTGACCTGGAAGGCAGCACCCCAGCCCTTCATTTCCTTGCAGGGATTGGAGCTGAGCTGTGGAATTCAAAACACCAGCAGATCTGCTTTATGTAGTTCTGGGAGCACATGCAATATTACAGCATCCAGAAAACAGCCATCTCTGTGATTTCACCCCACTGGATCATGCCAGGTCTCTGCCACTAGAAGAGCTCTGGCAGTGGGGAGCACCACTGGCTCCTGGAAAAGCAAGGAGCTGCAGCAAACAGAACTGCCAAGGAAGCTGTAGTACTCATTAACAAACATGCACAGCTTACCAGTTTCTATTTGTCATACTGGGTGGGCAGCCAAATCTTTGAACTTCATTTCCCTCCTCTCCCTCACCAGAATGAGGAGCTCCTGCAGTGCTGGCACCGCCACCATCGTAGTCTACACATTGTAATCTTTATTCCTTATGAACTGCATTATCAGCAAAAAGATTAAGTTTGCCTGTAGTATTTAGGGCAAGTCTCTAAGTGTGTACTACGCTCCCCTTTATCAGTGCCTTGTTGCTAGCACACGATAAAACTCTACCAGCAGTCATGTCTGAAGCTCGTTAAAATAGAAGGTACGTGAGAGCCAGGAAACTCAGAACTAAACCCCACACTTGACATTTACCAAAGATCAGACTACTGAGAGTCAACTGGGGGAAAGGAAATGCGTTTTCTGACTATTGCAGCTCTGTCACAATGAGATTTTTCAGTGCTGACAGTCTCAGGGCCAGATGGTACAAGCTGTACAGATCCATATCATTGAAGATAATGTGTACCTGCCAACTTACCATCTTAAATACTTAGTACATAACATGAAGAAAAAGAGTCTGTCTTCACAAACAGCAGAACTTGCACATTCATGTCTTTTTAGTTCTTTCCCACTGTCACACCACAGGGGAGCCTGCCTACTTCCTTCTTTCTTACACAATAGCTCGAAGTTAATTTAGTACCTCAAAGCAGAGCAAGAGCTGGATTAATAGAAGCTAATCCAGGAAGTGAGCTGAAGGGATGCTAAGGAGACATGAACAAGATTGATCCCTACACAGTTGAATTTAAAAAGATTGTGCTGTTGATTAAGAGAAATTATTTCACCAAAATTTTTAGCCTATACTTCAGTGTTTTGGGTTCACTCCTCACCATGAACTAGTCCTTTGTTCTCAGAACTAAAAGCAAGAAAAAATACCAGTATATTTAAATTTGTTAATTGCATGCATTTTCCTTCTCAGCTCAAGATACTGTTACTAAAACAGATGGAGTATCAGGCTCGATCCCAGTTTCCATTCTGGAGCTTTCCCCAAGCACAGCAGACAGTGTTTTAGTGGCCTTTGCTCTGAAAAATCCTGTTGTGGTTACCCCAGGAATGAGTGTTTATAGGCTTCAGGCCAGTGTCAGTGAGAAAGAGCTCTTCAAACCCACGAGATGAGAAACAGCAACTGGCAGCTCATCTCCACTCCTTCCAAACCAGCAAGGCTTGCTGACAACACTGCAAGCAGCAAAAAGCAGAGGAAGGCTGTAAGAAAAGCTCTTTTCCACCAGTCCACTATCCCATAAAATGTAAGACACCTGGCATTCTCAAGTCACTTTTTGCATGATCATCATTCCTTCACCTAGAGCCATGTCCTTTGTGTGCACAGTACAGCTTTGAGAGTGCAGCTCAGCTGCAGAGGCAAAACACATTCACAGCTCTATTATCCATCCTGATTCCTACCAAGGCCAGACCAGGATTAGCATACTTCTGGGAATATCCTTGCTTACCTCAGGGAAAAAAAAATAGGTTGGCTACCCTAAAACTCATTGATTTCTCCATATGTGTTACTTGATCAGATGAAGAGTATTACAGTCCCTCCAAATTTGCCAATGTTTTCAGGCCCACATAAACAGACATTGTGTGTTTCATGTTCTGCCACATCAAAGGCAATCACTCAAAGCAGCAGACCTCCCTCTGAAGGGTCAGTTCCACTTAGACTGAAATACCCCTCCTGGTCATTAGTATCTCCAAGCTGTGGTAACTGCAGGGTTCATGCCTTTCAGAGTTTCCACTGAGCTATCTCAGAGAACTGATTGTTGACTCAGGTTCCTGGTTAACTCTAGGGTTAACATGTAAGCTATTTTACCTGTCTTTCTAATTTATAAGCTAATCTACCTGTCTTTCTCATCCACAGTCAAGCAGGCATCTCCCAACCTCATAAACTCTGTTCTGGTAACTTCTGTTCAAGACAGGTGGAGCTCATAAGCAGCAAGCAGTCATCTGCATTACAAAAAGTGGGTCAGCCAGGCAATCAAAAACATTCTTGGCCTTCTCTTCCCTGGCTATAGGACAAATAATGCTTTTTGTTTCCTCCTTAGGTAACAAGAGGTTTAAGCCTTTTGCATGCTGCAGTCAACACCCTGGGGTACAGGAAGTTTCAAAGACCAAATGTTATTTTCTGCTGTACCACATGCCAGTAAATGGACTTTTTTTTTTTTAATGAATCTCTTGTTGTTGCCGTGACCTGCTTTTTCTGGTATCTTACTTTTTAAGGTGTCACTTCTAAACGAAACATGAAATCATGGTAGCCAGTTTATGTATAAATACTATGTCTTAGAATTCTGTGATTCCAGGAGAAAATGGTTTTCTCTTCAAAAAGTACTTTACTATGGCAAAGGTTTGACAATGTGAATGTTGGAGATCTTTCAGTACAAGCAGGAGCAGGATTTTTTTTAAATACAGTTCTGTGCCAAACCCCACCTCTCTCCTTTGAGATCCCCTGCTAGAATGGGTGCAGAACCATACCTTCCAGTGCTCTGAGTGATAATACCTTCCCTCTTTTTTGGGCTACCTCCTTGGCATCTGCTGCTGCTTGAACCCACTTTTAATGACAGCTTTTTAGGACCTAACACCATTATTCTTGTTCTGTACAAGATTTTAGATCTGTGGATGCTGATGTAAGGCTCTGTGGGGCCTCATTTCCTCTCTTCTGCATCACAATTGACTAAAATAAAACAAAAGCATTAGGTGACTCAGGAGTAGGCGTGAAGCACACTGTAACTTATCTCTCATGATGCTGAAGAGCACAACGTGGGTCTCCCTTAACTAGCATCCTGTTTCCTTCTGCCAGACTTCTCTTGCACTGCATTCCTGTTTAAATCCCCACACCAACACCTTTGCATTCCTGCTGCCCAGGAGTTCTGTTCATCCCAATCGCTCTGCCTGGCTGAGCACAGCTGCTGCCCATGCAATGCATGTAAAGCAGAGACATTTGGAGTTCCTAAGCTCGTGTCTCAGTCTCCCTTTGGGGCAGAATCACCCTTTAACCCTTGGGTTATCATCTGCTGTTTATCCCCTTGCGCTCTTGAAATGAGTGATCAACAGTCTCTTCAGCTTCTTAGACGCTGTACACACAGCCAGCAGCAGGACTCTATTTCTGGCAGGAAGCATGTGACTGAGTTTCCAGTTCTTGTATTCCTGGGATCTGGATGGAAATTGTTACAGCTGGACCTTCATCCCTCTATACACACATAAATACTCATCAGGGATATGTCATGTTCTCGTGCTGTTGAGCCTTCAGGGAATTTCCAAAAGATCCTTCCAGTTTCACTTGAAGTAAACAGACACAGGAGAACTGTCACAGTCTGGCTGCTTGCCTGGATCTTCCAGCTCCTGATATAGCATGGAGGTACAACAAGAAGTGTCAATTGCAGTAATTGTGCACTTCTCTCCACTGGAAGACCTCCTGTGTTTAGGAGCTGAGCTCACTTCCTTGACTTTCTACACTGCTAGGGTGTCTCCCCTGTCCAGTAGCAGGTTTTTGTTACCAGCAGCACACCAGCTGGTGAGCTCTGACCTCATTACCTAACAATCTGTTAGATTGGATCCAAGAGTTCAGAAGTAACCTGAGATAAGAATGTCCACGTTGACCCTGTTTTTCCTAGAAGCAAGATCAAAGTAGAGTCAGGTCTGTCATCTAAAGGGCTGGTGTTCTGCAGATGGGTGATGATGAACAGTGAAACTGAAGGGCAGAGATTGTAGAGTGCCCAGGGAAATCATCCTCTGCTCTGACACAGCTCAGCAGTATTGAGTCAGGGAACTTCTGAGTAGTTTTTGCAGTTGTGAGCACATAATTTTACTTTGAGTTTCCACTCACAGGACATAGACTTGACAATGGCTTTGGTGTTAATTTTGCCCACCAGTTCTAGGAGAGCATCTTTATAACTTAAAAGGGAGGCTCCATTCTGATGCCACTCAAGATTTCTTTATTTCAGTCTTACTACCTGCCCCATATATTGTGGTGGGGTTTGTTGGGGGT